TGAATGTAGAGAGAGAAAAAACTGTGCCGTTTCTGTTAAACTGAGGTCATATCTCCTGTATGTCTTTACTAAAATTAAATAATACTTATTTGCTCCTCAAAAGAGTTCAATTCAAAAGTAAGAGTTTTCTTTTATTTCAGATTTTTTTTTTATTATAGTTAAGTCAATGTCAGATCTGTTAATTGTTAACCCTTTTAAAAGGAACAATAAAATGTATGTCAAAAAAACAGAAATGTTTTCCGAAATTGGTCAAGCAAAGCAGATTTTTGTGGAATATAACAGAATCTTGGAAGAATATTCTTAGAATTGTCACAGATATGGCAGAATTTTGCGATATATTTCCAGAATTTTGGTAAGGAAAGCAGACTTTTTTGGAATAGAACAGCGTTTTTTGGAATAGAACAAAAATATTCGAAGAATTGTTACAGGTTTGGCTGACTTTTGCCAAAAGCAGCAGAACTTGTCAAATTCCTGTCAGAATTTTGCGGAATATAACAGAATTTTGCAAGAATATTCTCAAAACTGTCGCAGATTTGGCAGAATTTTGCCAAAACCAGCAGATCTTTGAGAAATATTTTCAGAATTTGGTCAAGCAACGCAGATTTTTCTGGAATATTACAGGGTTTTGGAAGAATTCTCTTAGATTTGTCACAGATTGGGCAGAATTTACCGAAACCAGGAGAATTTTGCGAAATCCTATCCGACCTTTGGGAAATATTTTCAGAATTTGGCCAGGCAAAGTAGTAATTTGTGGAGTATAACAGAATCGTGCAAGAATATTCTTAGAACTGTCAGAGGTTTGGAAGAGTTTTGCCAAGTGAAGCAGAATTTGGACAAGCAAAGCAGATTTTTGTGGAATATAACAGAATTTGGCAAGAATATTCTCAGAATTTGGCAAGAATATTCTCAGAATTTGGCAAGAATATTCTCAAAATTTGGCAAGAATATTCTCAGAATTATCACAGATTTGCAGAATTTGGCCAAAACCACCAAATCTTTGAGAAATATTTCAGAATTTGGCCAGGCAAACCAGTATTTTGTGGAGTATAACAGAATCTTGAAAGAATATTCTTAGAACTGTCACAGATCTGGCAGAATTTTGCTAAAACCAGCAGAATTTTGCGAAATCCTATGAGACCTTTGCGAAATATTTTCAGAATTTGGCCAGGCAAACCAGTATTTTGTGGAGTATAACAGAATCTTGAAAGAATATTCTTGGAATTGGCACAGATTTGGCAGAATTTTGCCAGAACCAGCGGAATTTTGCGAAAGCATTTGTTACACCACCACAACAATCAGTCCGTGATCCATCACCACCAGTTAAAAAATTATTTGGTTTTCAACGTGTCTGTTTAGAGACTAGACAAACAACTGAAATTTATTTTCCATTTGGTATCCAATCATTATTAACAATTGCATTGGGTGGATCGAAGTGGTTGGAACCATGGTTACATAAAGTTATGGTTGGAAAACAGCATATGCATACCATTCACTGAGAAGGAGAACCAATTCGTTGATCTTCAGTTTAGGATTTATTTCTGAACTGTGATTCGATGAAATTCTTAATGAAATAACCGAGTCTACTACATTCAGTCGTACTTTTCTTGAATACATTTACGATCTCGTTTGTACATATTCTATTAGTTTGGTTGTAGCTAACTATAGCATGTTTGGAATAAATTATCTGAAACCTATTGAAAATGGCTAAACAAATCATCGAATACAAAAAAGAGGAAGAACTCTTATAAACAAAAATTAAGGAATAATCAACATGATAATTAATCATAACAATAAATTGAGAGACGTGGAGCACATGATACCAACGTTTTGTGATCATTTAAGTGTGATACTTCGAACTTTTAAAAACCAATTCAACATTAGAATGGCAGGTGCTTGCCAATTCAAATCATTGTGCACCTATTATCTGTCTTCTGTTAGGTCCACAATATACAACATTATCATTAATTCATCTTAATAAAATGATTAATTATGCAATGTATGAATGCCCATGTGATGAAAATCGCACAAAAATCGGTGATTTATCGCGATTTATTATGCTGATTAATTGTGAGATTATATCGCGATAAAATCGCTGAAGTTGGCGATTTTTTCAAAGAAAACCGCGATTATTCTGCGATTTGTCTATACTCAGTAAAATTAATTCGTTTCAATCCTCCTCCTAACATTTTACTATTACGTTCTTCTGTCTTATTGCGACTTTTAGTTTGCATAAAAAGTTTTTCTTCACTTTAAGATGACTGTTTCTTTTAAATAAGACAAGAATAATGCGAGATTTCTTTTCTTTTCTCTCCCTCGCTGTTTATTTCTGTGACGTTTCGAAGTCAACGATTTCTTCTTCAGACATGACTTCACACGGAATACATTCGTTTATATACGCATGTTGTTCTCGAAGGTTCTTTTTCTTTGATAGTGGGACGTCAAGACGGTGGCACTGGAGGAGTCGATCAGTACTAATCTTCTTCATCCGTCCCACTATCAAAGAAAAGGAACCTTCTAGAACAATATGCGTATATAAACGAATGTATTCCGTGTGAAGTCACGTCGGAAGAAGAAGTCGTCGACTTCAAAACGTCACACAAATAAACAGCGAGGGAGAGAAAAGAAAAGAAATCTCGCATTAGCATGTCCTTCCTAAAACGAAATGAAAACGCTCACTTTCTATGGCACGCGTTCGAACGCTGAGAAGATAAGACTTACGAGTGCTTTCACACGTTTCTAAAGAATATTGTCTTCTTGGGTAGAAGTCTCACGGAACCTCTCTTAACTCTGCATTCTTTCGATTTTGATTCATCATAAGAACGCCACC